AAGAGAAAAGTCTTTAATTTACATTTAAAAAGAGTGATAGATCCGCTATTCCTTATGTCAAAGGGTAGAGCACTCCAGAGCTTTGGTGCTGCAACTGAAAATGACCTGACCCCACAGGTCTTTTGATTGGATCTAGGAATCGTCAGAAGACCCTGATCGACCAACCGTAGATTACGACTAGGTTTATAATTTTTCAAAAGACTGTTAATATATGCAGGAGCTGAATTAAAGTGATTTATAAACTAATAATAACATTTTAAAAATGATAAGACTTTCCACTGGCTGCCAGTGTAAAAATGTAAAAACATTTTTCGTTAATTTCAATCGTTAACAAGCACGTGTAGAGGTATTCACGTAGAAGACTGGGAATGAGGGTCTCCTTTGAGCTATGAGGAAGAGTCTATAACCCTGCGGAAGAATTAATCTGTTGTTACGTGTAACAATATTCAAGTCAAATTCCATTGTTTCCATTTTCTTACTGCAATAGTCTAAGGGGAATCGCAGTGGTCTAATTGTCAGTTCGTTACATTCCAAATCAAAATGAACTGTTTCATCATTCAAAAACGTGGCAAGGGTCCGTCTTTAGTACCAGATACTTCACGGTCGCCACGTCTTTCTTCAACAAGAAGGGGGAAATGGGTTGAAGAGAATTGTCAGAAAACCCACTGGTGTTGGCAGCGATGGAAATAGAATCTCATCCAAGGAAAGTAACATTACTCTAAATCGTTTCATGCAATGAAAAGTGTAGTGAACTGCCAGCCGTCATCTAAGCTGACAATTCAAGCTGATACGTAATTCCAGAGACAACCGTAATATGGAAGGCTCGGTGGTCCAGGGGCCAACGCACTGAAATCATTGGTCTTCTCGCCCTTCCCCACGCCCCCCCTTCTGTCCACTCTAAATCTAATTCAAACATTCAAGAAACATGGCCGGTCAAATATACGATCGTGAGCTAATACTTTAAGACGCCTGGACGAAACATTAAAAATAAATTAAATTTATTACCGGATATTTCTCCGCGGGACATAAACAGGGAAATCGAACAAAGAAAAGAGACACGCTTGGAATTAATCCCATTCAAACAGAGGCACAACCTCGTTCCCAGGGTCTCTCACCTTCCAGCTCCCTGGAGCTCGCTCCAGGGGGCGGGAAGATGAGAGACCCTGGAAACGAGGTTGACAGAGGCATGCATCGAACAGTCCCATTCAAGCAAAGATAACGAGAGTCACGAGAGAAGTGTCTTCGTAGCATGTTTTGTTTATTTGTCTCGCATTTTTACACAATTGAATAGCTTAAACAGTATAAAATGCCTCTCGAATATTTGAATGCTATTGTTGATTTCCTTATCTTTCGAGGAACATTTATAAAAGAAATACTGCAATTCCAGCAACTTTGGATCCACATTGAACGGAGAACTTTCCTCAAAACTAAATAATCGGAAATTTCTCATTAAAATTTTGAAACAACAAAAAATCTCTAACCCAATGAAGAGAACAAAAAAAAGTAGAGCGCATTTCTGGAGACAAAAACCAATTAATTAGTAATCACAAGAAAGATTAGAAGAAGCCAGGGAGAAAGTTAAGTGATGACAAACAAGGCGCTCGTGCTACTTTAGACAAAATCGTAAACAAATTCATACATCTCCATTCAAGTTGTAACTCGCATTCAAACCCTATTCCTTGTTTTAACTTTGGAAAGAGTACCACAGAACCCCATACATTTATTATGTATTACACTTCGTTGTCTTTCCCGACAAAACTTTAAAAACAAAGTCTACTAGTCTGAATGCATAATTAATGTGTGGGGTTATATGGTACTCTTGCCTTAACTTTTTACAAGTATAAATTCTCAATCGAGTTGAGTATACACTTAAATTAGTTCTGTTAAATTAGTGCTCCCCCCTTAGCTCTGCAAAGATTTTCATCCCAATCAGTGTTTTGCCCTTTAGTAAGAACGAACTGCCGGGGGGACAGAGGCACAATCTTTTTGATCCAGAGTTTCATCGATAACACCGCGATAATCCAAGGTTGTCTACAAGGCAAAGAGAACAAAGAATTAGCCTACAAAGGGGAGAAATCACTTTGGAAAAAGAATTTCGTTTGCCCAATATTTAGACAATAAAACACACAAAAATAATTATTTCCAATTCAAATACTCCAAAACAATGGAGTGGATCCCGCGAGGACTGAAGCTGACCTTTGCAGTCAACAGCTATTGTTCAGATTTCTGTGGGGTGGGGAGGGGGGGTGGAGAAGGAAACAATGCTGTGTATGGAGAAATTTGATGAAGAAGCCTGTCATACCTCTCCCGTATTCGGTTCAGTCCAGGCCAAGGTGTGTTTTCTCCAGTGACTGTCAAAAGGACGGTTTGTTTGACCTTCCAGCGGCTTAGAGTAGTCGTACTCATCAATACGCTCCTACAGACCATCAAAACGAAAGATTTAACTCTTTACACCCTACAAAGCTCCTTTACTTGGAGATCATTTCCTCAATTCTCGTAACCTTTTACTGTTTGTTTGAGGGGTGATATTGTAAGGAGAAATTAGATGCTAATCACTAGCAGAGGTCAAACGGTTACGCGCTTGATTTCATCATAACCGCCACCCAGTTAGCTCAATGGATAGTGCGCTGGACTGTTGTTCGGGTGGTCGAGGGTTCGAGCCCCGGCCGGACCAACACTCAAGGTCTTAAAATAATTGAGAAGAATTTGCTACCTTTCTATAACATCAAGAAATGGTTAAATATTCTAGTCTTCTCGAATAGGGACGAATAAATGGAGGTCCCGTCTCCTGCAGGGTTGGGGTAGGAGACGTTAATTTCCCATGCACGAGATTGCTGTGTGATGGATGTCCTCCCCTGGGGTGGAATGGGTGGGAAGGTGAAATCGATATGGACTGAAGCGGCTGCCAGAGGCGCCTGAGAAAATGCCGACGTCTGTTCTCAAGCTTAAGATCTCATTGTAACAAAACTGTAATTCAGTTCTCTGCAAAAGGTTTGAATAAGCATCATATCATAAGTGATCAGAGGTGAGACCAATAAATCAGCCAATACTCATCAATTGGAATAGCTTTAATGAGCTGGTTAGCTTTGAAATAGGCTCCATTTCTTTAGTTTCTTTCTTCACTAAGTATCCATTCGAAATCAGACGTAACCTCTCATATCGGACGAAAACGCATGGAATAAAGCGTAAACGTCGTAAATCGAACGCAGCCGCCGAAAATTAGACGGAACTCTCTGCAGTGGATCGAATCCTTCCGTATTTATCAATTATAGGAGAGCAAAATCAATGCAATCCCTCTTTCATTACCTTGAAATCCTCTCGAGCATGTGCACCACGACTTTCCTTACGAGCCTCGGCTCCATAAAGAGTCTGTTTGCAGTTGATGAGGAGATTTTGTAGTTCGAGCGTTTCAACCAGATCTGTGTTCCACACCATTCCACGATCAAACAACTGGAAATTAGAAAACAGAAGAGGAAAATCGTACTTTTAAACAGAGCGAGAAATGAGTTAACTTGCGTGGCCAACTTCCGACTGCGATGGCCTACCGATGTAAGAGCCTTTAATGGAGAGTAGGGGATATTCGAGTCATGTAGTCGCGACCTCTATAAACCCACCCACTCCTTTGGCTTGGAAGTCTAAGATGTCAATGACCGATTACACGAGAAAAAAAATTAAGTCGAAGAGTCTAAAAGATTATAAAAAACCCTTGAGCATTTACGCTCTGTGAGTCACATAAGCTAAATGTGGTTTGAAATTACCACCGTGTGACACAGAACTAGGCGACTGGTGAAAAGCTTCAGGGCACGACAAAAGTCCTATTATGTTTGTACCTTGAGGTCTTCTGTCTGGCTGTAAATATCATCAATCTTTCGGCAGCCTTCAGCTAACACTGTACCAGTCCTAAACACAGCAGCGTGTTCCTGCATAGTCTGGAGATAATAATACGCGAAAAGTAAGTGTCTTAGCTCAAGGTGTTTTTACCTCCTAGGAGCAACCACAAAGTGCATTCTACTCTCGATATCAAGTTTGAGTAGAATGACAATAAAAAAGCAAAACCGTCGAATAGGGAAAATTGTTTGATTTCGTGCCAAATCTTCTTTGATCTTCAACCAGTCAAAGTTCTATTCAACCAATTGGAAATATCAATATGGGTCAGAGTTGAGAAAAAAAAAAAGGCTATAAAAGGGAAAGAGGCAAACAATCGAAACAAAATAATACCGAAAATATGAATGAAACGTCGCCGAATGTAACAGGACGTCCGTCGCAGACAAAAAGCTGATTCTGTTGATAATTTGACAAGGAACTTATGTTGTTCGAGCTAAAGAAAGCTCGCGCAAATAAAATGTTGCTCTCACGATCTTTGGTTACCTTTTGCATGTTCATTCTCAAATCTGCAGTAGGTGTACTTCCGTTGGCGTAACGAATTTTGTCCAAGTTAGCAACGGACTCCTCTCCAGCGTTCTAAATCGAAAAATAAACAGAATTATCGTCCTCTCAAAACACAATGAAACCATTTTTTCCTTCCTGTGTATGTAACCCGTTTCTTGTCTCTACCCACATCCCGTAAATACTTCCTATTAAAAAAATAATAATTCTCATGAGGCCCTCCACAGCCTTTGCTGTAGTAGGGTAATTTGGTTATATCAACAAAGTTGAAATTGTAAATTGGCCACCGTAAAGAGCTGACGTTTCGAGCGTTAGCCCTTCGTCGCTGTAATACGCTGATTCGTGGCCTTTATTTGGTGTCTAAATTTATAGTTTATCCTTCTCTCGTGCAATTACGGATACTGCACAAAGAAGACCTAATAAATTCAACAAGGGGTTGATGCGTAAATTCTCTTAACATCAATAATAAATAACCCACAAAGCAGTCGAAGGGATATGACAGTCTTAAAATATATTTTGGAAGGGACGTGGTTCGCCTTTACACGCTTCTGTTGCGGAAAGTTAGTTATAAGTGAACGCAAGGCTGCCCGACCGAAAAAAAGACGTGGCTGTAAGAAAGGGATAGATGGGGATCGTTTGAACTAGAGATTCTTACCAACGGGAGCTCTGGAAGTGTCTCATGTGGCTTGTTAAATTTAGAAATAAAATTTGCGCATGCTCGCCCGAACACAACCAGATCCAACAAGGAGTTTGCACCCAGTCTGTTTGCACCGTGGACCGAGGCGCACGCGGACTCTCCTGCCGCCCATAGGCCTGGTACGACTTCATCTTTACCCTCCTTCTTCGTCAGAACCTGGAACCGAGAAAAAAAAAAGAAAACTCAAATCAACTGGAATAACACCACATGGAAGAAGTTCGCTACTCTGCTCCATGCGAGTTATGAAATTCCTTTGAAGTTATCATAAAAGCGCCTAAGTTAAGAATGAAACATATGAAGCAAAGTGAAATACAAGAGCGAACAGGAAAGTTATCTTCGATTTATTTCACTCTCCTTTCAAGAGAGAGCGAGGAGGGAATAGGGGATGGGGAAGAGGGAAAATAACACCTACCTGACCCATGTAGTTTGTGGGGATACCCCCCATGTTGTAATGCACTGTGGGAATTACAGGGATGGGGTCCCTCGTCACATCGACTCCAGCAAAGATCATAGCGGTCTCTGAGATTCCAGGCAACCGTGTCTTTAGTGTCTCGGATGGAAGATGGGACAGTTGAAGGTACACGTGGTCCTTGTCTGGCCCCACCCCTCTGAAAATGTAACAGAGTAAATCAAATATACATGTAAGTTAAGAGTACCTTGGAACTAGTCCCAGGCTCAACTCAGGTCAGGTAACAAGTCACAAGGCATATTGTAAACTAAC